AGTTGATGTTGCTATGCCTGAAATCCAGTAATTTATATGGACCTCTGCATAAGTTAAAGGTAAAAATAAGTGTTATCAATAATTCTAAGAAAATAGACTATAAATATTCTTGCAAAGCATGTTCAGGTGGACACTGCAAGCATGTCATTGCTGCTCTTGTTTATTTAACTAGATATATATAAAAGTAAAGTATGTTTAAGAATATTTTAATTTAAAAAATCCTTTATGCAGAACACCAAAATCAATGATAGAAGTATCTACTTGCACTAATGTTAATGAGCAGGAATTGCATTTCTTTTGATCATTTCTTTTTGATATTTTCCTGAAACTGCTACAAAATGCCATTAAAATATAAAAAAAATTAATGATTAAATAACAATTCTAGTTCATGTCACTATTTCTGATAGTTTCAGTGATAAAACAACAAACCACTTACATATGAAATAATCACTACTTAAAAAATGTAAGCTGCAAACATACAATTATTTTTTAACTTAAGGTTAAGCCACATTTTCCAATCTATTCGTTTCGAATACTCGCATTTTTTGGTAACATGTGCAAAATAACATCATCACATAATGTACAACTACAGCAGTCAGAAACACTACAGTACGCCACTCGTTTTTTTTTTTTAACTCATACTTTTTATTCGATCGTACAATAATTAATTTAATAGCTTCTTTTAACCGATTTCTAAAAGTAAAAATAAAAAAATAAAAACCTGTTTTCAAAGAGATTGAAACTCCCGTCCTCTTACATACTAGTCAAGCCCTTTACCCACTCTGCTATGAACAAGCCTGGCATAGGGATACCGATTACTTCATTTTATCTTACAATTCGTAACTTATTTTCAACGTAAATTTTCATTTACTAGGGGGCGGCGCCCCCTGCACGCTTCGCGCACCAACCCCCGAAATTTAATCAAACATTTATTGTCTATATTTTTAACAAATAATACAATAATTATGTCTTTGTTGTAACACGCAATATTTCAATCTTTATTAACTTACAAATTTAAGTGACTTTTCACTGATTTTTCAAAATTTTCATTTTTGAATTTACCTGCACTCAATTAATCTCAGCCAATCACACGACGAATGAACAGGCTTCATCACGTGATCCATTTTTTTAAAGATAGGATTGTGAATTCATTCATTTGGTTATTTGACATTAAATAAACAAGTTAAAAGAAAAATAAATTTTTTTGGTACATGTTTTTTTCAAAATCTTAGAACATTCATTTATTTGTGATCAGTTTGTTACTTTCAAAACAAATAATGTATTGTTTATGCAATTTTCCACATTTTTTTATAATTTTCATATTTAAAAAAAAAAAATTTTCCGTACTGTATAAATACAATAATTGATTTTTATTGCGTTTTCTTCTTTCACAAATTTTCCTTTGTGATTGAGAACAAAATTCAGAGAAGTGGGAGGAGTGCAAATATGTGCTGCAACACTGGAAATTATTTTTCTCATGAGGATGAACTTACATACACGCTTTCACGCATACTCGGCCCCTTTTGTTTGTATTAATAAAAGAAAAAATATATGTATATATACATAAAGATCTATTTAAAAATAAAACAGGTTAATCTAATAGTAATCTTTCATACAAAAAAAAAATGAGAGCTTAATGTAGATCTTATAAATCCAATTCAAAGTAATTTTTTCATAAGGTTACATTTTAACTTGAAAATTCTTTAAATTAAACATATGAAAAAGGGTACAGTTTAACGATCTGCTATTTAATAAGGATATTTCTTATTTTCTTAGAAAGTTGTTATAAAACCATTGAAAAATTTGATGATAAAGCACAGTCTTATGCTGGCCAGCTGCCATATTATTTATAGTGTATTGTGTCATACAAAATTGTTTACGATTTTTTTGTTATCAGATATTAAAATATTTATTGAAACTTGTAACGGGGTGTCCGTATTCACTTATGGCCCTAATAGCCACAAATTAGTACTAGGGATACTCTGACCGGGACTGTGTTTCCCGGGCACCCGCGGAGACACACTCGCGTTACAACGCGGACAGCGAGTCCGCTTTTCCTCGTTCACGTCTGCTTGCTGAGGGTCCAGCTCAGCTCTGGCTCAACTCAGGACGCTCGCGCGTTGGTGTTTACGCGCGAGCCCGCGGAGGCGGCAGGATAAGGCCGATGCCCGGCTTACAGCTCCCTTCTGGACGCCAAGATTGCTAGATAAAACCTGTAAAGAAAGAGTAGCCGGAAGGGCTTCGTGCAAGGAAAGGCTCACGCAAAGCAAAACAAACATTTAATGATCAAAAGAACGGAAACTATATTGGCTGCATTGGTACAAAAGCTTACGCGCGTGTGTGTGTGTGTATTTCGCTCGATCGCGTTGACAGCAAAACCTGTACGGTCGAGGAAGGCTTTCCTCTCGGGGCCGACGGCCTGCGACAATTCGACCGGGCACAGAGAGAGATTACGCGGCTATCGTGATTCTCGCGCACGCACTGCGCTTACCTGGCTTTTCGCAGCCTCTTATTTGCACTTGCTCGCCTAGCAGTTGGCCTCTCAGCAGGAATACTCGACCTGGTGTCTAGTCGGTAAGCCTTCTCGTCGAAGGTACGTGGCTGCAGGAACGGGCGAGGCGATGGCGCTAATACTCATATCAAGACGCTTGTCTCTCCTTTCTCTCTCTCTTTCGCACGCATTATCGCGCTCCCTTCCCCTCTCGCTCTCTCTCTGGCATTTCTTCCTCGCGCAGTCTAGATGAGTGTAAACGGCGTTTGAGTATTAACCGCCCGTTAAAAACTACACCCAACTAACGTAGCACCCACTGTCCACTGTTTAATTTGTGTACTACAAAAAAGTCTGGATTCGAGTTTGCATTCATTTTTTGCAGAATTTCATTAAACCTCATCAATTGTTAGTCGTTTGGATGTGCAATGGTTCCTGAAGTCGATGGAATAAGGTATAAAAGAAAAAAATTAAATAAAGAATTTTGAACTTAATACAAATATCTTTTCGGATACTTAAACAATAAATATCGATGCTAGGCTCCAAAATATAATGTTTCCCATCCGTTTGTAAACGATATGTTTCTGCGCCGACTTTGTAAGTTAAATTTCCTCCATAAGGAAAATATTCTATTACAAGTGACTTCTTAAATTTGCCATTAGTAATCGTAAGAAACACGGGCGGCTCCCCATCACAAATAATCTGCAGTTTCCGCTGTGTGGCCATCTTTTGATAAACAACATTCAAAATTATAATAAATAAAAAAACTTTACGAATCATCTGTAGTTCGTACAGTGTAAATACAGTAAATACCATTTATTTTAATAAAGTATAAGCTTTTTAAGCGTCTTGGCTGACAAAAACAGTTATTAACTCTTTACAAGCAGTTGAAACTGTAGGCTGTATTGGCAGCTGAATTTTTGGACACTGGAATAAGAGTGTTAATGATTTGTAGTAGGGTTAACACTTTATTCTGGTCATAACACTATTGTTGAACTTAAATGAATATTGCAAGTGCCAAACGTATATACATATGAGTCCCAAATTTTTGCCCATCATTAATATAGAGAACAAACATGTCCTCAATAGAGGAATAATAGAGAGATTACTGATTAGAGCTATATGTATATAGTATAATTAACAAAGTTTTTTTTTCTATCAATTTTGTGTTTGGTAGAGTTTACGTATAGCATTTCGGATATTAATCTTTTTTGTCTATTTAGTTCCTGGTTTAAAATTTTGGTTCAAGGAAAATTAAAATCATGATTAATTTATTTTCTGTATGAAGTGAAAACAAGTTCATCTTCCTTTGCACGATTGTGTTTAATAAGACATTTTTTAACGCTCTCTTGGTCTTGCTTACATATGATGTGGGGCAAGAATCGTAAGGAAAATGATATGCAATCTTGTTTTAATCGAGGTTGTTAATTGTTTCATTGCCCAATAGAATGAGATTATTTAATTTATTTATAATAATAGGACATAATTGTATGGTAAATTATTTTGAAGTTTTTGAGTAGAATATAAAAAATAAGGTGTTATAATGAATAAAAATTTAATTTCGTGCGCACATTGTCATTACTTAATTATTTAATATTAATAGTAATAGTGGTTTTTATTATTTAATTGTAAGTTTATATACGTACTCTACTAGTTGTTATGAATAAACAGAGAGCAGAAGTACATATCGAACAACCAACTTGATAAACTAATTGTTATTTGTATTCTTACATTAATAGCTTATAGCTTATCACTATGAAAAAGGACCATGTGAAAAATATTTCTTCGCTTCTCAGCCTGCAATGTCACTTGATCGTTCTCGATTTTGAAAGTAGAACAAGTAGTTTAAATAGAAATTATTCAATTAAAACCTTTAGTGTACTGCCTGTCTCTTTTAACAGTAAAAAAAGTTGTTTCTAACTCACTAATTGCAATAATTTTTCTAGTACCTACGTTTAAAGTTATTTTCTAGCCACTTTAGCTGTATTTCCATTGACACAAACGACCATGTTTAATTCAAAAATTCATAAATTTTACTATCAGCACTTTAGGAAAAAATTTTATGAGACTTTTATTATTAAAAACTTTTGGAGCATTTTATAAGAAAAAATGAGGGTTAGTTCACTCAGTTACAAGTTATATGACATAACTTTACACCAAATTTTATGAATGTGCTGTAAAGCTTAGAGATTTTTATTTTTTCACCTTAAATTAAAATGTTTGTAGGACTTGCTCATATTCTTTGTAGTTTGGATTGTTGAATTCAAGTGTTTAGTTTTAATCCAAATATTAGTTTAATTTTTTTTTCATAAGCCTAAGATTGGTACTGCTGACTGTAGGAATACTACAATGTTAACATGAGGTGTTTTTACTATAAAAAAAAACATGAATTAGTTTTTTAGTTTTAACTGAACAGTTGAATTCAGTTACCTAAATTACATAGGAAATGTCCATTCAAGTCTATGAAAATTAAATTAATCTTCTATGAGTTGTATAATTATTTAAATTCTAGTTATTCGAGAAACCAGATGAATCTGAAGTTGCTGTTCAAACAGAATACTTTCTGGACAGACCTTCTACACCTCCTTATTGTCATCCAAAAACAGGCGAAGATGCATTTACACAAATTGAGCCTGGTGATGTAAGTTAATTATTCATGAATCAAATTAGTAATTGCTCAATTTTTTATATAACACAGTTATGGGCAACACACAACTTTTTGTGCTATATTATAACTCTTTGTAAGTAATTGTATAATTTAGAAAATAAGTAGTGATTAATCGCACCGGTAAGGATATAAAAGTATTAACACATAGAGAGTCTTAAGGGCATAAATGCAGAGACAAAACCTCAGATAGTCTAGATCTTGGAAATATATTAAATTAAAGAAAAAGAAGACCTACAAGTTAAAGAATTAGCAGTGAATCTAGGAAAATTAAGACATAGATTTTACGAGACGTTTTAGAAATAGACAGAGTATGTATTCTCCTGCAATTTAAAGTTATTTTTGAACCAATATCTACTTGTAATAATCCCCCAGGCTTAATGCTTCTCAACAAAATTTACACAGTATAAATTTTTCTACTGTAACTGAATACATAAGTAAGCTCTTTATTTAGGGTTAGATTAGTTTATGAACGTAGTATAAAAACAGCATATTTTATGGCAGGAACTTATAGGCTGAAAATCAAAAGAATGTAAGAACTAACCGTTGTTAATTGCAAAATGTGTCAGTTGACAATACAATATTAAGAATACTTATAATCAATGATTCATTAAGCTTCGAGGAAATCAAACACACATTTACACTTTCTTTCCCGTTTTCTGCACTTTTTCTTCTTTCTGTGACCTCCATCATACCTTCTCCAGAGGACACGTGCACACGCTGATAGTAAACACAAGCGGAAATGATACAATTCCAACATTCCCCCTTGGTCCAAGATGTAACTAGGTGCTTTCGGTGGGCAGCTCAGAGTCGGAAATGGATCCTTTATCAGCTGACAATGACTCACAGCTAGCTATAGGAAGGAAAGCTAACTTGGTGATCAGGTGAACGTACATCTCCGTAGAAGTTTGGATGGTGACAGTTCTCATAGGACTTTCTCTGTCTGGGCTAACAGCAGTCACTTTACTCATAGGCCATCAATGACATGACATCACGGCTCCAACAGCTCAACAAACGTGTACGCATTTCATAACGAGGTTCCAATCTGTGAGTAAATCTGGATGTTCAGATGGAGGCTTTGAGTCCAACGCTGACTGAAGAGGCGTGCCAACAGGTAGTTAGCATCAAGGCATCTAAGTTGTCAGCATCTCCGGAAAGAAGGCCATTGGATGGCTATTCCATCTCGATGCTGACGTAGACGATAGAGAATTCTGTATAAGTTGAGTAACAGAAGCTCCTGAGTTTTTATAGATGGCTCTTAATGAATTTTACAGCAGCATTCCAATAGCCGCCAAAATGAGGCGCTCCTGGTGGAATAGAACGCCAAGAAATCCCTTGCTCGGGCGATGTGTCAGCAACGGCATCCTATTTCAGCTCAGCACAGTGAAGCTCGAAGCTCAACGTCAGCACCCTGAATCGCATCAAACTTATGGAACTACATAATATACTAAAATAAAAATATCACTTCTCCTCCTTAATGACATTACTTAAAAAATAGATCGACAAAGCTTAGTTAATCTTAGCCATTTATTTAGCTAAACTGTAAATTGCAGAAAAACTCTAAAACTCATAAGCGTGCATATGACAGGTCGAAAGAGCAAAAAACAGCAAGACGAACGAGACTTGAAATCATATTATACATGGATATGAAAGAACAAATAAAATTTAACGGGTCCTGCCCAATATGATTTAATAAAATCAATCCCTCACTACGATTTAGCTGAACATCGGGGCCACCACGCAGTTGATAATTAAGTAACTTGGAATTTCTTGCCTACTTTTTTAAATAGTCTAGAGTAATTCCAGAATAAAACCTCGTTGTACTAAGGGAAAGAAACTTAGATTTCTCGTTGTAAGGCCCTTGACACTAAAATCGTGTTACTTTGTACTTAAAGATCCTTTTTTTGGTCCGCTCCGCACTCATCTAATATTGTCCCATTGCTTTTCGCTCTCTCATCACCTTGATTTTCCCCGATAATCTCACTTTCACGTTCTCTGCTTATCATTCTTCTCCTTTCCTTTTCCATCACCAGCGATCCCTAATCTACATTCGATTTTCTGCTTAATCAAATAGTATTCTTACCACGAAATTTTGAAATTAAAAAGAAAAGTATTTAGTTATTTATACGTATACCTCTTAGAAGATTATACATTTATATGGTATATTCTGAGTCAATTTCAGCCTAACTGTTAGCCCCACTATTTATGTATTTAATCTTAGAAACTAAAAATAACTATTCTTTAAGAAAGACAGATTTTTTTCGAATAAATACATAGTCTTGTATTGTTTTGTCAGCTTTTCGACTACGATTTAGAAGTCCAACCAATCTTAGAAGTCCTTGTTGGCAAGACTATCGAGCAGGCACTGATAGAGGTCTTTGAAGAGGAGGAATGTGCGCGAATTCGTGAACAGCAGAGGAACTTCTACGAGCTCCGTGCTACTGAAATAGCTGAACAGCAGAGACTTGAAGAGCAAGACAGACGTATTCGCGAAGAGAAGGTATCAATCACCAGAGAATAAATAAGAGTAAATCGTTATTTATAATTATTTTGACTAAAGTTTAATTTAATTTTCCACCCTGCGTGTGCAGGATCGACGAGTGAAACAACACGAAGAAGCAGTAAAAGTTCAGTTAGAAACTGAAGAAAGAGTTGCAGCAACTGTCTTACTCACAGGCTACATAGCTGAGTTACTGCCGGCAGTTCTAGAAAATTTGAAAATATCAGGCGTCATTCTTGATGAAATAAAAGCAGGTATATATAGCCTTATTCTAACAAAGGCTTTTATTTTATTTTACAGTTAAACAATTTTATTGTCATACTGTTGTACATGATTTAAAGAACTTATTAACATTCATTTTCGAGCCCTATACTTGTTAATAAAATTAATTAATTTACTTTTGTGATGAACGTTGTCTTTCAAAACGCGTTGTATTCAGTACGTAATTGATTAAGTGTCACGTAGAGATTTTGTTTAGGACAACAATTAAAGTATTAGCTATGAAAAATTCCTTTCTGACATTTTTTGACAAACAATGAAATTTTAAAGTAAAAAGTTAATCCTACAATTCAAAATTTTTATCAGTCAAGTTAAATGTTAACTATTAAACTCATATTTATAGATGTTGAAGAAGATTTCATGCCATGGCTGATGAAGGAAGTTAAAAAAGGAATGGGAACTACGATCGACAGTAAGGAGATTTTAGAAGGTGTGTATAAACAATCATTTTTTTTTTTTAATTATGTAACGGCTTCAAGCACGAAGCAGTTGTCAAAGACTGCCCTGAGCTTAATACAAAGTGGCATTTATGTTTATAACTTGCTATTACTGAGACAGTTATCGATAAATTAGTTTTGAAAAATGAGAGATCGTGCTTAAGTATCTTACTATCAATTTTATCTATCCTTATTAAAAATGCTGTTAATTACTAAGAAAAATATTAAATCAAAATTTTTTTTATTTTATCAAATGACTTATTTAGCATTGATCTTTGAATTCACAAATATAAGTTTATGATATTCCATAATATATTATTTAGAAAAAAAAGTTTGTAAATATTTAAAAAAATTATACGTGCTTTATTTAATCCATGAGATTTGTTATTATGATTCTACAATATATTATTTTAACATATTTTCTATGAAGAAAATTTGATTTTCCCACTTTGGCATTTTCCAACTTGTGGACGTTGACGGGCCTTTAGTAGGAGAAATAGAATTCGCACCTGGTGTGCATCCAACCAGATCTAGCACAAAGTGTATCTCGAGCTCTATTTTGCAGGTCCCTCAGACCTGGTATTTGCCCTATAGTTATGCACTACCAAGAACAAAAACTTTTATCTAGCTAAATTTAACCTTACGAGAAACACGAATTTCTACGTAACTTTTCCGATGTATTTTCACACCATAACCATACTATTTAAAGTGAAGTGTGGTTCCTGCGAGGAACTTAGATTACTTTATGTTGTATCAATATAATAGTTAGAATATTTGAAAGGACCTAATAATGAAAATTGATTACCAAATAATTAACTATGGAACGAGTGAGGTTAGAAAAAATTTAGTGCAAGTAATTATTTTAAAACTATAGAAGCTCACCCAGGCACCAACACTACTAAGGTAATAAATAGTATTTTACAATACATGGTCGTGTCATTGATCCTTCCTCTTGTAGCACTTAGAATTGATAAATGTGATAAAAAGATAAATACCAAAGATGAGAGAAACATGGCATTTTACCTGAACCGTGAAATTTTGTCGACGTATAAAAACTAGAATGAACTCTTGCATACCTCTAGTTCACATTTTGATGGCAGAAAAAAAACAGGCATCGCTATTGTCGTTACAGAATACATCAAGGCAGTTTACTTTTAGAATGATAGTCTTAAGACAATTACTTTTACTTTTTCAGGTCTCTAATATTTACAAAAAGTGTCTTAGTCCTTGTTCTTCCTTCTGTTGATGTTTATTTCTCTGACAATTGTTAAAAAAAAGCCATTACCGGAAATCTAACGAACGAATCTCTGAAGTGAAACGATAAGACTATTCAATTATTTGTAGATGTAATAAGGTCTTGTTAGTTATATTTAAATCATAAAAACTAGTTTGAGTTAAAGTTGGAACAGTGCATAATTTCAGGACTTTTCAGTACTCAACGCATTGTAGATAGTGGATAACAAAGGTTAACGGATTTATTATGCACTGAGAGAAGGACTTGTTAGTAGTTATATTTATCTGTGACCTATTAACTTACGTGTAATATGTATCCCATGTGGCACCATCTGACGTGGTGCAGGTTCAACGTAAATATGGCTTATTAACTATTAACATGTCGTCTGTGTCAGTTAAAATTTAAAAAGTTACAAGGAACATGTAAAATGATTTTCTGTTAACATACTTGTACGTTGATAGTAAAGAAATCCTTCTCTCAGTGAGATAGTAAATATGAAATCCACATTAGCTGTAACAATTCTAAATATTGCAGTTGTCAAATGTTAAAGAAAATAATTACACTAACATCTACATAAATTAAACCAAGATGCCACTAAAGTCAGTGATAGACCTTTAATTGTTAGTATCGAAGCGCAACAAAGTAATCTCGCCCGTGAAAATGCATAAGTATATTACGGAATGACAGTAAATCACAACTCTATTTGCTTTACTCCATCATTAACTATTTTTACAACTGTAGATACATATTTAATTTTTTCTTTAAAACAACTGTGAAGTATACTACATACAATCGTTATATTTACGTCTGATGTTTCAAAATAAACATAAAACTCAATAGAGCGCAGTCAATAATGTATTGAGTTCTTAGGAGTCCCAAAATTATACATTTTTCTCTTACAAGGGCTGCCGTCCAACAGAAAAAAAGTATAAGTGACATGAGAGACAAACTGTGAAAATTAAGGAAAACTAAGTTTCTTTAAAAATCAATCATAATTTGAGTATTGGACCGCGGACAAACCGTTTTTTGTATAAATATGATATTATTATTCTATTTTCCATTAAAGAAAAACGATTTTTCGATGGGAACTACGAAAATCTGTACTTACCACTTTCTAACTCGGCGAAATTTCCTCGTAAAAAAAGGGTAAGCGCAAAAATATAGCTTATTCTATGGGGCTTACCCTTTTTCTACTTTTGAATCCAAGGCGGTGCTCATCGACTTTACAACGTAAAAAAAGGGTAAGTGCACGATGTTTGTCTGGCGTGATTTCCACATTTTGTGTCACTTACCTTTTTTTTTGATCACTGACGAAAATTATTAGCAATTTTTCCAATTTTTGTTAAATTATTACTAAATCACGTTATAAGATATTTAGTTTGTAGATATGCTAGACGCAGAACTTTTTGACGAATTAATTGGTACAAATAACTCATTTTCGACAAAAATGTTACTTACCTATACTTTTCTCCCATTGGACGGCAGAAGAAGTCTCTGTTTTTATTTTTACTTTCTCTCAGGTCTTGTACATAAAAATAGAGCTCTTTCTCACTATTTATTTGTATGTCTATAAAAATACGTTTAAATTAATAATTCATATTAAATTAATATTTAATTAACAATTCTCTGAGTGGTTTCAATTTGTTTACAGACATTGTAAGGGAAATAATTGAAAGTAGAGCTGATACTTACAAACAACTGGGAGAAGAAAATGATTCAAGAAAATCGCAGCCAAACTTCTTTGGAGACGTATGCAAAGGAACAGCTGAGTCTGAAGATTGCATATCAATAATTGACAATGAAATCAGTGGTTACACAAACCATATTGATTGAGATATTGGTACCTCGATTGTTCTTTAATAAATCATTCATTTAAATTAATGGAAAGTGCAAAGCATTTCTTACAATAAACTACAGCATTTGATGATTCAAAAAATTCTAAACATTCATTTTCTTATAATAAAATGTACTTACGATTTTCATAAATATAGTTTTAACAAAATACTGACCTAAAATTTCTTTTCCCTAAAGCCTAAGAAAAAAAATTCTGTAGACAAGATAATAATGGGTGAATGACTAATTAAGGTATAGTATATTATGTATGAGTTTCTTTATGAACATCGTTACGGCCCTCACCTGCGGCTCAAATAAGTTTCGTTTACTGTTTTTCCGCCTGAGAATCTAAAATCAAGCGGCAAATATGCTATTTTAAGGTTAGGAGGTGGAAAAATTAATATAAGGAGCTACACTGGGTACATTGTGCTATAAAAAATTACTTAAAAAACTTTTCACATCTCACCTCAGTTATTCCTCCTACACAGAAAAAAATATGGGATTTGTTATAAAGCTTTCTCCTGCACAATTTTTTTTGCAAAGAATTGTAAAATTTAATAACAACGTACAGAAAAGAATCACAGGAATTTCTACTGTAAAAGCAACGGTGATACTGTGATGTATTGTTGTTACGTAAATTTTTACCGCAGTGATACATGAATTCTTACCAATTGTAAAATTTATCCCAAGTCCACCATAATTTTTACTGTACGGCAATGGTAAAATTTCCCCTGAAAAAGTACATGGCTATAGGCTGCGGGGTCACGGGAACAGGAGAAGGCTGACCTGCCAATTTGTCTACTGCAGTGCGGGCTAATCTACAAATTGTAAACCTGTGCGGATATTTGCATTAATAGAATTGGTACTTAAAGTATTTTTGAAAACATAATGCAGTCCTCTCTCACTTAAAGCTATTCATAAAAGATACACTTCCTTTCATTTATACGAGTACTAATTTCTGCAGTACAGATCTTACGTCTATCTCGTTATGGCCCACTACAGCAGACAATTGGTCAGCCGTTTTCTCCAGCCCTTATGATCCTGCAGCCTATAGCTACGTGCTTTTTCAAGAAAAATTTTACCATTTACGTACCTTCGCAGAAATTTTTACATTTGGCTAAACTTTCATCAAAGTTCATGTGGCTAACCTTTAGCCAAACGTTGGCTAAACATGGGCTGTGAGAATATCCCAAATCCAATTTTTTGCTGAAATTTTTGAAGTAAGTTTAGCCAATGTTGATCCAAGCTTCTAAGAAATTAAATCAACACTTTAATATACATGTAGACTGCATATACAACACATCGAAAAAGTCGTGCAGGAGATAATCTCGAACCTCGGCCAACGAGATTCCACATGCGACACAAGCACGCTTAACCACTCAGCTTTGACGGCATGGTACAAGCTATAACACGAATCGTCTACATATCGTACCCTATAATTTACTTTGAATCATGTTATAATATTTACTTAATAATTTTCCTAAAAAAATTTTTTATGTGAATTCATTCAATTACATTTACCTGTACATGAAAAAATATTTTCTTAGTGTATTGTCAAGCGTAATCATGTTCAATCAGAAAATTTTAGGTGTACTGTAATTGTTTCACATAAAATTAATTGTAATTGAATAAATTTACATAAAAACTTTTTCAGAAAAATTGTAAAGTCAATTTTATAACATGACTTAAAAAAAAATTATAGTATCGGTACGATATGCGTGCATGTGTGGCACCCGCAATCTCGGTGGCCGAGGTTCAAGACCAGCTCCTGCACAACTTTTTCGATACGTCGTATATGTAGTCTACTAAAAGTTAAAGTTCAAACTAATTTTTTAGAAGTTTGGATGAACATTGACTTAAATTGAGTCAAATATTCTAGCAAAAATCCAAGTTTGGGATTTTATCATTGCCGATGTTTAGCCAACTTTTGGAACTTTGGCAAAAATTTGGCCAAACGTAAAAATTTTCCACGTCGGTGCAATAAAAAATTATAATGAATTTTAGATAAATTTTACAGTCAGCATAAAAATTACCGTAAATTGAAGTGAAAATTGATGTACTAGTGCTGTGAAAAATATTACAGGATTACCGTTGCTTTTTCGGTATGAAGTACTGTGATTCTTTTCTGCGTAAAGGTTGAAGAGTTATTTATTTTATGCATTTTTTTGACAGTCAAACGTAAAATTATTTTACGAAATAAAAAAAAAGTCTCAGGTCTGACTTTTTAGTTTTTTTATATAATTTAAAACAAATTTTGTTTACCTTGAACTCTTTTTATTATTGACAGAAACAAAGGAGCTCCACTTTTCTTTTTTTTTTTTCTTCTATACAAGTTACATTGAAATATGGTTCTAGTATAAATAATATTAATTGTCTAAGGTCTGATTTAAGAAAATTTAGTAATATAATTTGTTTTCTGCTTCACTGATTCATAGGTTCTTTATTTGGATTACTATAATTTATTTATTTAAAGTGTTGGTTCTAAAGAAATTTATTATAATGTAATAAAATGGCAAGTTGTTATTTTGAAACCTGATTTCCCATTCTATCACCTTGAATTCTCAATGAATCCATCTCAAATAGGGCTCAAATTATTCTTCGAGGTATGAAGAATTTTCGTTAATTCTTCATTTTTCTTTAGCAACTACTAATGTAATAAATAGTTTCAAGCTATGAAATCCAATTGACTTCATTAATAAGTTAAGAAACATATTTATTACATAACAACAATATTTGCTTGCAAGTATGAACGATTGTTGGGTAAGAGTTAATTAATTAGTACAGAACATTAAAAAATTATTTTGTTCTATGCTTTTAAATTATAAGAATGTTGTCAATTGATTTTCTTGTAATGGCAATTGAGAGATAATAGCAAGTATACACAATCATTTTTATTGATAGTTATGAAACAGTCTAATATTTTTGCTCGTTATCTTATCAACATTTTCTTCCCGTACTAATGCTTTATCTCCTTCTACGTCTTTTTTTTCTTCTTCTCCTTCTTTATCATCTTTATAATTGTCTATGTTCATAAACTTTCTTTTATGTTGGTATATGTTACAACAGTGATTTATTGTGCGTTAGTACAAGTTTCTCTAGGGCATAAAAGACACAAGTGTGTACAATGTAAACCATGCTTTTTGCAGCCACGCACCGTAGACTGACAACCATATAGGCAATGGCAAGATATTTTTTTTTAAACATCAGATAACAGAAATTCTTCGGAAGGGTATACTAGTGATAACATATGGGGTGTAGTTATCTATCTTAAATCTGTGGATTCTTCATTAGTAGTTAACCACCTTTGTGCCTGTAAGTAACCATTATAACAGTGCTATGAAGCTGCGCCCTCAGTTCGGGGCAGAAATCGTAATTGAAAAAGTTTAATAATTTTCAAAAAATCGTGTACCTCAAATCATTCAAAGAGTGTTACATTTTCATCGGTGTAAATTCGAGCACTAATTTAAAGTCCATTTTTGTCGATGAGAAATGTTAACAACGTTAAAGAAAACTAAGCACCAAGTTTTTTATAATAAAACATCATGTGAGAAGGCAGTAATAATTAAGTGTCCTGTATTCTACCTCCCTGAAAAATCATTAATACTTGCATGTGTAAGATAATAACAGTAATACAAGTAATTGTATGAATATTGGAGTATCATGTTGTATTAAGTGTAAAGGAAGCCGTCAGAAAGAAATTTTGAAATTATTACAAATGAATTTTTTGATGGATTAAATTGCTCTACGTTCTTTGAATACTTTATTTATTAGTAACTTCATCTTCTGTTATGCAGTGCAGAATTTAATCATGCAAAGGCATTTCGAAACGAACAGAAAAACAAAGCTTCATAGGGCAATTAGTGTAGTACTGTACTTGCAACAGCTATGTTTAATTTAGAATGTTGTTGACACATACTGACTTAATATTATTATGATTTATCCTGTGTTAAAAAAAAAATTTTCTATTTACTATGCTAAGATCGGAAGATATCGATTGTTTTGCTGACCTCGTCAGTTTAAAGCAAATCGCTTGAAAATGTGGTGGCAGCACTACAAAAAAAAGGCGTGGCTTAAATAGGTGGCCTGACTATACCAGTGCTATTATCTAAATGTTTTTTAATATGATTTTAGGATTCTTAAATACAGATGATTGGGCAGGAGCTGAGCAAAAAGGTTAATATCGACGAAAATTTTCGCCTATTTTTCGTACACTAAACTTTTTCCATATTTTTTTTAAGTTATACTTCTATAGTCACGTTATGCACGAAGGTAAATCAACGATTTCAGATTTTGACCTAGAGAAAAAGTGTGACGGAAGTGTATTTTGCTTGATTCTCCCTTTTCACCTAGCCCCCAGTGACGTATTTCCGGTTTCCCTTACACCACATGATGCCACATCACACCACCACACCACACATTTTTTTAATGAATTTCATTTTTTTTTCTTTTAAACAATTCTCACGCTTAACCACTCAGCTTTGACGGCATGGTACAAGCTATAACACGAATCGTCTACATATCGTACCCTATAATTTACTTTGAATCATGTTATAATATTTACTTAATAATTTTCCTAAAAAAATTTTTTATGTGAATTCATTCAATTACATTTACCTGTACATGAAAAAATATTTTCTTAGTGTATTGTCAAGCGTAATCATGTTCAATCAGAAAATTTTAGGTGTACTGTAATTGTTTCACATAAAATTAATTGTAATTGAATAAATTTACATAAAAACTTTTTCAGAAAAATTGTAAAGTCAATTTTATAACATGACTTAAAAAAAAATTATAGTATCGGTACGATATGCGTGCATGTGTGGCACCCGCAATCTCGGTGGCCGAGGTTCAAGACCAGCTCCTGCACAACTTTTTCGATACGTCGTATATGTAGTCTACTAAAAGTTAAAGTTCAAACTAATTTTTTAGAAGTTTGGATGAACATTGACTTAAATTGAGTCAAATATTCTAGCAAAAATCCAAGTTTGGGATTTTATCAT